TGTGTGTGTGTGTGTGTGTGTGTGTGTGTGTGTGTGTGTGTGTGTGTGTGTGTGTGTGTGTGGTGGGGAGGATGTACGTGCACATTGACGGCGAGCGCACAGAGAGTGAGGGTTTGCCGGGTGTGGACTCACGGTACGGCGCATGAGTCACACGCCCCGTCCATCGACGGCAGTGCAGCGTAGTCAGGAGGGGCGGCAGGGAGATGTCAGTGGTCCTCAGCAGCAGCAGCAGCCTCAGGCCCGGCTCTCACAGCACCACAGATCTGCTGCCGGAATACAAGCAGGATTTACATTTGAGCTTCGTCGCTGCCTCTGGAATGACGGACACATCAGCTTTCACGACGACTGAGGATGACTCATCAGGAAAACCACCGTATATCCTCCCCTGGGAGCAGATGCTCATTATTCCTCAGGCTCTAACTGGGAAAACACCTTTGCTGTTATTTTATACTTGCATGAAGAGAGTTTGTCTCTAAACTCTCGACCTGTTGTCAAGAGYTGACGCAGCATGAAATGAAAACAGGGGAAATGATTTATTAGTTGGGTAAAGAGTTCAGGTTGTGCTTGAGTTATTACTATTCGTTTGTGCTTGGACCGGTTTGAGAATTTGTATCTGGCAGATTTTTTCATTTTTAGCCTCGTGGTTTGAATTTACTGCAAAACCGTCTCGCTTTCAGCTGAGAAACTTTGCACTTATATGTGAGCTTTACTTTTCACTCACTTCCCGTTTCGCCCAACTTTTTATTTGAACCGTTTATAGAAATGTCCGGTCTGAAGGCATTTAATGTCTTTATTTCAAGCAGCAAACTTTTTTGCATTGCACCTAAATCAAATCAAATCAACTTTATTTATAAAGCACTTCAAAACAGCAGCTGCTGACACAAAGTGCTGTACTTGAGGGGCCGAAAACAATAAAACAAATCAACAGTAAAAACACTCAAACGCTAAAAACAAGCAAAAAAACAGCTAAAACAGACCAAGATCTCAAACTGTGTTAAAAACCAGTGAATAAAAATAGGTTTTAAGATTAGTTTTAAAAACAGGCAACCTAAGTATCTTGCAGCTCTAACCTGCATTTTATTTCTGAGTAAATTCAGAGCATATTTGCAGTTTGCATCTTGCAGAGTTTGCGAGCAGATCTGTGAGATGTGTTATAAGGCGTGTGGTTGTGTGTAAGTGGAACGTAGTGGCATGCTAATGCGGCAGCCCCGCTCCCTGCAGCACAACGCTGTGATTTGTTATTGGGTGTCGACACCTGCCTCTTGGTATGAAACAGCCTCAGTGTCATCCTCCGCTCTGTTGACGCGCGGAGCGTGTGGCGAGGGAGGAACGGCGCCGCGGGCTTTAATAGCGAGGACTCGTCTCAATAGTGATTCTGTTCCGTTTGCTTTATAGTGACCTCCACAGTGCGTTGCCTCACAGTCGTTCTTCACTGGCTAGCTTTATGTCCCACCGCCCACACTAAAGCTGCCAGTTGAAGAGCTGTTGTGTGCAACCATGACAGCCGGCCTCTCCTCAGAGGTTAAATTTGAGATGTTGAAAAATGTTTATTTTTGTTAAAATCTAAGCTTTTTTTCTGTGAGTGTGTGGCTGCTGGTGGTATTTATTATGAAAAATGCTTCTTCTTCTTTARGGGTCATTTTCCTCCACCTCTCTCTGTCCTCTGCATCCTCTGTCATCACTCCATCTTCAGATAGATCAAATTGTACCTGGTCGATTTTTCTATTAAGTTTCGGATACAAAGTTTTGAATGTTGCTAATTTCCTAGCACAAAAAAGTCTTTGAGTTCTCAGTCTCCGCACCACAGACGTCCCTCAGGTCTCCACATATTGACCACTCTGCGGTTCATAGCCAACTGTAAAAACCTGCGCAGCCRAGAGACTTGCTGTCCTGAAAGAGATTCCTCACAATCTTTATGTTTTCCAGGAGTAATGGACTACCTGTCGGCTGAGATCTCTACCTCAAAGCAGAAAAAATTCAGTCTGGTGACATTTGTGGACACTCCTGGTCTGGTGGATGGGGACATGATCTACCCGTTTGATGTTAATAGTGCCATCACCTGGTTGGGTAAGTGTGTTACAGAATGGAAGTTTTGTTTTCCAGCGCTCTGTCACATGCGCTCCACAGATGTTTTATTTTATTTATTTATTTTTTTGTTCAGGAGAGCAGTCAGACCTGATATTYGTGTTCTTTGACCCGATGGGCCAGGCTCTGTGCAAACGCACGCTCAACATCGTGGAGAAGCTGAGTGAAAAATGTGGCGACAAACTGCTGTTTTACCTCAGCAAGGCAGACGAAGCCGGCAGGGAGACAGACAGACAGGTCCGTCGTCTTCACGTGTAAACATTTAAAACGATTGAGAAAAAAGTATTTTATTCATTGTTTTTTTTAATATTGTTGTTCTTTCTGCAGAGAGTCATGATGCAGATCGTCCAGGAATTATGCCGCCGTCCAGGTCTCAACAAATGTGGTTTTGAAATGCCGACAATATTCATCCCCAACCCACAGAAGGTAAATGGTAGATGCTGGAACTTTGTTTTTTTTTTTAATCTAAATAAGATCAGTGGAATCTTTTGAAGCAGGGTTCTGTGGAAAGGTTGTAAACAAAAATGAGTATATCTGTGATATTTAGCTTTTTAAAAGACATGGGTTTGGAAAAATAGTTAAGTATGACTGGATTGATGAGCTAAAATAGTCTGAGAGAGGCCAGTACCAGACTGTGGACCAAGGTTATAATAGTTTTGGATTTTTCATTATAGTTTAGTTTTATTTAGTTGTGACATTTTTTCTTTTAATTCAGTTAGTTTTTATTAGGTTTTAGCGTGGATTTTCTAGTTTTTATTAGTTACTATTGCTGTTTTTAATGCTTAGTTTTAGTTTAGTTTTTATTAGTTTTAGTATTAGTTTTTTTTTGTAGTTTGAATAAAAATATTGCCAATGCAACATCCAGCTTGAAGTGTTCCTGACTTTTACGGACAATGATGTGCCATAAGC